ACAATGCAGATTGCACTGATGTGCTGAGTCACTTGTGCACAAGCAGTCTTTAGGCTACTTGCCATCTGAACTACAAACACAAATACTCAGAATGCTCTCACGGTGCTCAGTGACCAAAGTCACATCAACAAACAGAATCACTCTTCTGCTCTCAGTAACGGCAGCGTTCACCCAGCAATGCTGCCACTCCATATCCTTCATTCAGGCTAACTGGATTCAGCAAGAGGAGCCCAGAAACCACCAAAGTATGATCACTATCAACAATATTCCCCCCCTTAAAAGATGGTACCTACTAAAATATGGAAGATAGATAAAGCTGCAGTAATATTAGAGGTATGTGTACCAACAGCACACGTGAGCACTTCCTTGCTGTACACTGGACCAAAGCATTCATTCTTGCTTTTCTTAAGTGCAATAAATAAGTGAACTGACTGTACCTTCAAAAATTAAAAGTATCTAGGCAACCTACTTTTCCTTTTTTGCAGTGCTATCCTAGTGAAAGACTTTCAGAAAGTACAGATTTACAGCTGCAATGGTATACCCACCTATTCTTTCAGGTCAAGATTTAATGAATTAGAGGATGGAAAACACCCGTGTTTTTGTACAAAGGAGCAAATATTTTTGTACAAAGCAAAAAACAGTACCCTTTTTTTTACACTCTTTTTTTTTTTTAGAAAAGAAGCAAAATCCACCACTTACACAGTCTCTGTCACATTCTCATTTGATTGCACTGTAAATGCAGCGGCATCCTACCTGTAGAAAATAAAAACAACACAGCAACAATATTTGGCATGGGATGTATCCAGTAAAGACCTGATTTTTATGGCTTACTCAGGCATAACCATCAGTAGCTGAGCTTGGATGGAAAATCGATAATCTAAATAGGCATGAATATCAATATTAAAGACCTTCCTTTTTCAAAAGTGTTCCACGACTCTAAAATGTTTCAAGTTGTTCAAACAGGTGAGGAATCCTTCGCTGAATAGAAGTGAATTGCAAGGACTTTGCTTCAGGCACACTGCACTTCTGAACAGCGAATGCCAGAAGTTTATTTTGCCAGACTGCACTGCACAGGGAGTGCAGAGCTCAGAGGTCCTTACACATCCTCTGGACTCTGGGCTTTTATTTGCACAGCACACACTGCTCAGTAATTAGAGATGTGAAGCTTCGCATGCATTAATTAGAGAAAGTGGTGGCAGCTTTGTATTTTAGCCCTTCCTTCTGAATACTTTACTAATGTAAAAGGCCTGGAGCAAAATTAATAAGCACTGAAAGACTCGTTTTCAGCCTTGCAGATGCCCAGCTTTTTTGTGTGCATATCTAAACAGTGGTATGCAGAGCATGCTGTGGGTAAGCCAGCCTCTGAAAGGTGCTGGAATTTAAGAAGGCCCCAGATTATCTGCATTATCACTTGGGATGGGGGCCCTGAGGTTTGAGAGCGTAAGCGTGCACTGCACTGCTGCAGTGCCTCATGCAGATCCTCAGCATTATCACAGCAGTAAATAAACAACTCAGATTTAACTCCCAGACTAAAACATATGTTAGGTGAAAACAACATTGCAGAAACAAATAAAGCTCATTTCATGTATAAATGCGTAAATACATAGAGCCACTGAACAGGTGTGAAAGCTGTGAAGAAGCCATGCTTCACAGGATGTTGAGATTGTTAGAAAAATCCAAAAAAGAGAGTGTATAACCAAGATGTTATAATTTTGTATAATCAAGATGTTACAATCGCAATACAATCAATGAGAGTAAGGCAAAGCAGACAACGATCACAAAAGAGAATAAGTGGAAGAGCTTACCCTTGGGTTGAGCTCACCAGAAGATACCAAAGAGGGGATCTCCAGAAGAGATCCTTCCCCTCTGGTAGCCAGCTCTTAAATAGGTCTAGGAGGGGTGGAGCCAGGCTCCACCCCTTCCGGCAGCACAGGTGAATTGCCTTCACCTGTGCTCCTCTGGCTGACTCAAGGCTCACCTCAGGTGATTAATCAGAGGTTCAGGCCGTGACTCAGCAGTTCCCATACAGAGAGCAAGAAAAATACTAATCCAGTTCTTTCACATGTGAAATAAGAAGACAGTCCTGCTAAGCTAGTGGGAGTTTTCCAATTAAATTCAGCTAGGCCAAGAGTGCCAAGAATATTAGCAACCTTCTAGAAACATCCAGGAAGACTTTCTGAGGGCAGACAAGTTCAGGATTCGTGTCAGCAGGACATTACTGTGTAGCTGGTCTGCAGAGCAGAGTTTTCAAAACTGTGCAACCAGTCTTAATCTCTTCCCAACAAAACAGAAAAAAACTCTCAAAATTTGCTTGTTTCTAACCTGTGCAAATCCATTAAATGCTGTGCTGGATGCCCAAGTAGAAGTGAAGATCAGAACAAGACATCATTTGTTTACTAAACGAGAACACGGATAAAACATTTCTATTTGCAAAATAAAATAGGCCAGACATAAAACGAAAGAAATAACAAAAGGAAGGGCAAGGCAGAAAAATACTTGATGACAGTGCTATTCGATAACAGATTTCACAGGCTTAAAGAGAACACCAAAATGAATGAAAAAAGCGCAGTGACTTCAGTATTTTTATAAAAAGAAAAAAGAAAAGACAGGAGATGCATTTTAAATTATAAAGTACAAAAGCTGTGAGACACCATGTGCCTTCACAGTGTGAAGCTTCATTCACCTTCCTGAAATGCATTTCCGCCAGCCTGCTTCATTACACTGCTGAAGGGCACCACACTATGAACAGCTGCATGACAATTTTCCGAGAAAGAATTGCAAGGGCTTAGGAGGGGTATCAGGAAACACACAGATGGATTGGTTTTAAATGACAAGGTTATGCTTGACCTAAGGAACTCTTTGTCTAGACTGGGCTACACACTGGGGTAGGTACCTCTTCTTTATCAGCCTCCATTTCCTGGTACAACAACCCATATCTCCGGTTAGCAATTTCATCTTCAGATAAATCTGAGCTGTTAATCCTGGCAGTGCACTGCCAGCAGCTGATCTGGCTGCCCAGGATCCTGGCACTAGAGATGCTTCATTGCCAAATGCAGCAAATGGGTGTTATGGGGAAAAGCCAACTCACGGGTATTTCTGGCACATCCACATCACAGCACCACAGGCCAGCAGCACCGCAGACAGCAGCACAGCTGAGAACAGCACCATGGCTGCGACGTGGCACTTCTGCACAGATTTGTGAACAGCAGCCTCTGTGCTTTTCCTGCATTCATGCCTGGAAGAAACGAGACAATGTCCCACGGTCCCTTCACCTGCTACAAATGATCTCCCAGTGTGCTCCATGAACCCAAGAGATTTTCATTAGTAGTGCCTCTGTCTCTGTGCCTAAGCACCAGGGCTTCCACCTCTTGCTGGGTGGGGAGAGGCTGCACAGGCACTACCCTCTGGGCCGAGGCGGTGCCCTGGGATCTGGGCTTTGCTTGTGGGGAACACTGCAGAGCAGAATCCCTCATGCTTTTCCCAGTGTGCGTGTCCCATAGGACACCCCCCAGGCTGGAGGTCGGGCTCCAGCCAGCGCAGGGCACAGCCGGAGCCAGCCCAGGGGAGAAACACTCCTGCAGGCTCCTACCACACAGGACCCTGCTCATCGCCCCCGGGTGACTTTGTTGCATAAGGGCAGAGCTCACAACTCTCTGGTAACTGCGAGTGGTGGGAGCTGAGCAGCATCACAGGCGTGTACCTTCTCTGAACAACAGAGAGCAAGTCACAGAGCAAGTGCCTTCTCTGGCACACCGTTGGAACTGAGGTCAGCCATTTTCAGAGAGCCATCCCTGGCTTCTTTTACACGTGCTCTGTGCCCACACACTCAGGTTTGGCTGCTGACCTGGTGTGCAAGTGCAGGCAGCAAGAGCCTGCAGGCACACAGTGACTCTGGTGAGTGATGCTGGCTGAGCACGGCACAGAAATTACCTGGCATGCCAGCTGTTGGTGCTGCCTGCGTTCCACTGTCCGAGACCAGCAGTGTGGGATGGCTGCCTTCCTGCAGTGCATCCTGCTCAATTTCTTGGTCAGTTCCTTTAGAAAGAAAGCAGGACAGTAGGAATGGATGCGATGTGCTCTCATCAGGAACTGAGCTACTCCAATCCTGAGCTCAGGCAAAGTCTGCTGCTCCCAGCCCCCCACATCCACTGTAACCCCCTCCGTTGCCCAAGGGCATTTGGGACCTCCCAGGAACCGGAGGGTGCCGACCCTCTCATGCCTCCTCAGGAAATCAGCTCCTATGCGAGGCCCTCACACCCTGTGCTGTGAGCGTCACCAACCACCACAGCCAGCTATCTGCAGGCTGACATTAAAGCTCCAGCACAAGCACCTTCAGAATCAGCATCTCCAGCCCATGGCTTTCACCGCCTGGCACATCTCCAAGGCAGTTTCTCCCTCTGGGGAAGTCAGCAGTGCCCCCAAAGACCTTGCTGTCTTGGTAAGTCTCTGCCCACTGCTTCTTCTGGAGGGAAGCCCCAAGGAAAAGCTTTGCCATAGAGCCCCATAAGACAACTCTGCTGCTCTTCATGGCTGAGCAGCTGGGAGCAATTGCTCCACGTGCCCTGACTTGGGTTCACCCTCCTTTGTGCTCCAATCCTGCCAGAGCTGATGTTGGGGAGGGGCTCCCACCTTCAGCCTCAGCATGTTCTTTTCTGCACGGCCTGCCGCTGTCATCTCTCTTCTTTGAGGGAGCGGATGAGGACAAAGGTGAAACTCTCCTGGGGTTGTTTGTTTACGACGTGTATCTTTGTATCAGCAGGAGGAGCCCCACAAAGCCCTCGGCCGTGTCAAATTGGAGGCACGGAGCAACTGGGGAAACACAGAACGCACCTGCGTGTGCCAAGTGGAAATTCATGACAATTCGTAAAAGACAGCAGAGATTTTTCGTAGGAAATAATGAGAATAAAAGGTCGGTTGCTTTCTGCCTGCGCTGAGGGCAGTTACTGGAGCGGTGCGTTCGGGCTGGGCGAGGGAGGAGCTGCGGGGCCGACTGGGGCAAGATGCGCGGGGCCATGTGGCCTCATCACCCTGCGCCGCGAGGCCGAGGTGACCGTGTGGAAGTGGTGCAGGGCCGCGTGCTGCTCCAACGCCGCAGGGCAGCTCTGGGCTCCGAGCACCGCTTCAGCTTCTACAGGTTGGTGTTCGAGGGGGCACAGGGCAGGGGCCGCTCTGCGTTGGCCCCGTGGGGCCTCTGTGGTGCTCAGGGCCTCTGCTCGGTATGGGGAGGTGCGCTGTGTCGTCCCGCCCCCAATCCAGGGTACATCGCTGCCTCATTCCCCTCCACGGTTCGGCCATAAACGCCCCCATCCCTCTTTCTGACCCCCAGGGTCACACTCTCCCCCTGATCCCCCCTAACACTGACTTTAGAGCCCCCTCCACTCCAGTTCCCCCATTCCTTTTCGCCCCCCACCCCCCCAGTTCTCCATTTTTACCTCCAGGGTCCCTTCCCCACCCTCACCTCATCCCTCCCCTCCTTATTCCCCCATTCTGATCCTCTCCCCCCCTCCCAATACCCCCCTCAGTTCCTCTTGCCTCATATCAGATGTCCACAACATAGACACCTCCCTGTGAGGTACCTCACTACTGCTAATTAGTGAGCCACTAATGCTCACATGAGGAGATTAAGGATAGGAAGGAGCTGTGCAGATGCAAATATCTGGTGAAATGTAGGCTGTTACTCCCAGAGCTACTTTTGCACAGCTAAAATACAGAGCTCTTACTTTATGGAAAAAGTAAATCAGACCATGTCATGAAAGCCTGGAGCTGTACATCAATAATTAAAGGGCATCGCATGGGGAGGTATGGGGACATAGAGGGAATTGGGGGATGTGAGGAGTGGCTTGAGGTAAAAAGGGGGAGTGTGGGGCGGTGTTGGAGTGGTTTTATTTCTTCCTGAGAGGGGACTGGGGGTCTCTGTGGCCCAAAGGTGGGGCTGTGAGCCATTACCCCACATGAGCCATACCCCAAGATGACCACATAACCCTGTATGTGCATGACTCCATGTGACCCACAGCCCTGTGTGAACCATACCCCCACACGACCCTGTGACTCCCTGACTCTGCCTGCCCCCACCATGCTGCGACCTGCTGCCGTGTGGCTCCAGAACTCTGGGATCCCTGCCCCCACTCACCCCAACCATATAACACTATGAGACCTGTAAGTCCATATCACCCTATCTGACCCTACCATCCCATCCGACCCCATCACTGACCCAGAACCCCACCTCATCCCACAACTCAGTGTGATGCCATCTGACCCAACGTCACCCCACAATTCTGTGAGATTGCAGGACCCCCACGTGACCCACGACCCTGTGTCCTCACCCCATGTGGCCATAGACTCAGCTGTGTGTGAGGAAAAGGCATCCACTCCTCGGGGTGGGGCTGCCCCAGAGCTGCCCCAAAGAAGACTTGGGGTGGGCTGCAGCCATACATCTCGGTTTGGAGAGCTGGGAACTGGCCGAAAGGGCCAGAAGGACATGAATGCTTCTGTAGGGAAATACCTGTCACAAGGTTTGGTGGGCCGAAAGCTTCTGTTTCTCTAGGTGGATGAGAACAGAACAAACCGATCCTACTGAGACCGGGGAAGGGACTGGAGCTTGGCTGCTGCAGTGCTGCATGGCAATGAGGGATGCTTGAACAAGGAATGGAGCTGGGATGGACTGAAACAAAACAACTCTTTAATAGGGACAGCACAAGGTAGGGTCAGAGTGACAGCTGTACTGTTGTTCTGCAGACAGATGCCGAGCAGAACACAGCAGGGCCAAGACGTTCTGAGCAAAGTAAGGTGGAGACTGCACACGAGATAAGGCACAGGTGCAGGACAGAGTCTGAGACACAGCAAATGCAACAGCTGTAAGAAATCCTGCTTGCCTGTCTGCATAGAAAAGCACACAATAACCCAAAAGGAATAGGTTGGCCATAGACCTCATCTGGAAAAACAGCACAGCAGATGTGTGGCATAGACTGTGAGCCTGCAGTGCCAAGAGGGAACAGGAAAGCAGGGACTGCAGAAGGAGCTCACTGAGCAGCTGTGTATTTTGTCCCTCAGCACGAGGAGGGAGAGGGCAGTGATGCCATAGCAATAAAGATGAGCTTTGCTGCTGCACCAAGAGCTGTGCCTGAGGGAACAGCAGCGATGAGAGCATTTCTTGCACACTCCACGGGCACTGGGGGATCTGCTGGGATGGGGGGAAGCCCTACAACACTGTGGGAGGGCTAAAGGACAGGTACGGGAGGACCCCAAAGGGGCACTTTGGGGCAGCTATGGGCAGAGCCACACCCAGGAGATGCCTTTACCCAACGCACCGCTGGTGGTGGAACTGCTGTTCTGGGTGCTCTAGGATGGCTCTGGGGCTGCCATGGGGCAGCTATGGGACATACCCACAGCTCAGTGAGGTTGATGTTCCCCCACAAGGAGCTGGCAGTGAATCTGCTCCAATCATGGAACCTCTCCCATAGCCCCCAACTACCCCCTTGCCTCCCATCTTGCCCAGCAAGACGTGGGCATGGTGGGGGTCACAGGATATTTTAGGCAGCTGATCTACAGCGACCCCAGAGCCACCCTATAGTGTCCCCTGAACGACCCAAGAACAGACCCATCACTGTCCACAGCCTCATCTGGGGTTATGGTGCTCACAGGATTATGGGTCATGTGGAACCCTGGGGTCATGCCGAGTTCTATGGGGTTATGGGGTCATGTGGGGTTATGGATCAGGGCCCCACCTTTGGGCCACAGGGAATCCCAATCTCCTCTCAGGAAGAAATCAATAAATGCACTCCAGCACCGCCCCACATCCCCCATTCTCACCTCCAACCCCTCCCCATGTGGCCCCACACCCCCTACATCCCCATGCCACCACAAGTCCCTGCACCCACAAGTCCCACCTTCACCGCACACGTTGCCTTCCCCTGTGCAGCACCCTGCTCCTGCAGCCTGTGGCCCATATCCCCATATCCTCCCATGTTCCTCTGCCCCCACACCCCCCATGCCCCACACATCATTTGCACCCACATCTGTGCCCTACACCTGCTCCAGCTTTGCATTCCTCTCCTGCTGCAGCCGCCCATGCCCCAGTATTGATCCATTCTATGGTATCTGGAGAGAGAAAGGGGTGAGGAGGGGCCCAGGTTTGCTTTTGGGGTACTGGAATAATGACAAGGGTCCTGTTAGGGACTGTAGGTGTCTCTGAGGTTGCTAAGGAGCCCTGGAGGTGGTAAGGGAGATCTGAGGGAGGAAATAATGGGGTTTAGTTGGAGTCTAGTGGGGGATATGGGGTGCTGCTGGGGACTATGGAGGTCTGTGAGGTTTGGGGCCACCTATGGTGGAGGAATCAATGAATGCATTCCACAAACAGGTCTGAGGAGGTCATTAAGGAGTTATGGGGTTCTGTGGTGGGCTATAGGGTGGCTACTGGGGTCTTGCAGGGAAAGTATTGAGGGAGGTATTGGGGCTCTGAGGGAATTATGGGTGGGCTGTACTGGAAAGATAATGGGTTACCTTGGGGAAAGCAAGGAGCAACCTGGGCCATAAGAAGGGACACCTACAGGAATGTGCTGCATCTCCTGCTGCCATCCTTGGGCTGTCATCATGCTGCCCATCCACAGCGCACTTTGAAGGGCAGCAACCTTGCAAGAAAGAACAGAGAGCAGAGAGCTCTGCTGTGCATTTCCTGTTAGAACAGAGATGAGCCGTGCAGCCCTCGCTCTCAGAACACACCTCTTCTCTCACCAGCTTTCCATTCCTGCACAACACTGTTCAAACCCCTCCTCCATCTCTCCCTTCACAGCCCAATGCGGAGCCTTACCCCAGCGACGAGCTCCAGGCTATTTAATGCCTGTGCCATCATTGGGACCTGCAGAACGAGCCTTGGGGTTAAGAGGTCGGATCAGACAAGCGCTCTGTCTAGCAGAATTCACTATCTTAAACACGTTAAAGAAGCGACTTCTTGAAAGCCCTGAATCTGTGTGACACATCAGTAGATGCTGAACTAAACCCGCAGCCTTCTCAAAAATGGAAGGGCTCTCAGAACCAGCTGGAGGGGGAACAAAGGCGCACAGAGGTCTGACATCTTTTAACAAAACCAGGGCCACAAACACTGAGAACTACAAACACAGGGAAACCCTGCACGCACGCAGATCAGATGGCATCACAGATCAGCAGCGCTTTACCTCCTCCGCACCAACAGGCTCTGCAGTGCCCAGCATCTGCCAGCGGCAGTCTGTGAGGAACGGCCCTCAGAACACGCAGAGCCACGCAGGGTCTCCTCCTCCTGCTGCTCCAGACGCTGCGTTCCTTCCTCTGGCACACGGAGCTCAGCTGGTGCTGCTGCAGGCAGTGCTTCCGTGTCTGCCCAGCCTAAAGCCATCGGACAACGTCAGCAGATGCCTGCTGCTCACATACAAGCAGAGGTGCTGGTGGAAAATCACCACACAGCACAGACTGAATGGCTGGGACCTTGCAGTGAGAAAAGACTGAGATGCAAAATGCTTGCTTCTTGGAAGTAGAGGTTCAGCAGCAGCTCCACTCGTGATTAAGTCCTCCAAAAACCTTCTTCTTTCTTCCTGATCAGGAGACTGGATAGTGAAACCTTCTCCAGAGTCATTATTAAACAATTTCTGAAGCCCAAGGAGAAAACATGTTTCAGATTTAAGACCACAAAACAATCCTACTCTATTCCAATACAACTTCAATTCTGATTTAAGTTTCTTGACTGGCATTTCAGCCACCCTGCTAAGGATAGGTTAAACCTATGGATAGATTATAGGCTGGGGGGGGGGGTGAGCCGTCTAGGCCAACATCCCCTTATAGCCCACCATCACCCTGTGGCCCCACACAGTCACTTATGGAACCACATCTTCCATACACCTCCTATAGGCCCATCTCTCTCTGTATTCCCCCATTGCCCCCCTCAGCCCCTCTATGTCCCCCCCACAAGCCCCTATAGCATAACAACTCTCTCTATAGACCCTCCCCAGCCCCTTACCATCCTATGGACCCTCCCACAGCCCGCCACAACCCCCTATAGTTCCATTAACCCTTTAAAGGCAGGGGAGAGCCTTCTAGCCCCAAGACCCTTATAGCCCACCCTATCACCCTATGGCCCCACACAGCCCATTATAGAACCATATCCCCCATACACCCTTTATAAAACCATATCCCTTATACTTTCCCTATAGCACCATATCCTCCATACACCCTCTATAGCACCATATCA